CTACTAATTACAGCATTCCTTTTAACATTTCTTGCAGTACTGCTTTGGTGCTTATGTATTCCCTTAGCTTTTTTTTTTTTTTTTTTTTGGTCTGGGAAGCTCTTTATTTGACCTTCTATTTTGAATGACAGTCTTGCTGGGTAGAGTAGTCTTGGATTCAGATTCTTGTTTTTCATGACCTTGATTACTTCATGCCATTCCCTTCTGGCCTGTAGTGTTTCTTGTGAGAAGTCAGCTGAGAGCCTTATGGGGTATCCTTTGTAGGTAACCTGTTGCTTATCTTTTGCTGTTTTTAGGATTCTCTCTTTGTCTTTAAATTTTTGGCATTTTAATTACTATGTGTCTTGGTGTGGGTCTGTTTGGTTCTTCTTACTTGGGGCTCTCTGTGCTTTTTGAACTTGAATGCCTTCTCCCTTCACCAAATTAGGGAAGTTTTCTGTCACCATTTCTTTGAATATATTCTCTAACCCTTGCTCATTTTCTTCTTCTTCAGGGACTCCTATGATGCGAATATTATTACATTTCCAGTTATCCCACAGTTCTCTCAAGCTGTCTTTTTATTTTTTAATCATTTTTTTCCTTTTGGTTTTCTGATTGGTTGATTTTTTTCTACCGTCTTCTAATTCAATGATCCGTTTCTTAGCTTCTTCTATTCTGCTCTTTAGACCTTCCAATGTGTTCTTTATTTCTGATATGTCATTCTTGATCTCTTCTCATGGTTTTTAATTTTCAATTGGTTGATTTTCAGCATTTCTATGTACTTACTCATGCTGTTGAGCTTCCTCAAGATCATGGCTCTGAATTCTAGCTCTGTTAACTTGCCTAACACCTCGATGTTGATCTTATCTTCGGTGGAGTCTCTTGTTCTTTCATTTTGCTTTTGTTTCTGTGTTTCACCATTTTCGCTATCACAGTTAGCTTTGGAGCCTGCCAACTGTTCCCTGTGGATACTGGTATTATGCTGTTTGTGACTTTCTCTCCTGGGTTTAGATGAGCGATGGAGGACCCATGTTAAACACCACTGTCAAGTGTTACTTTCCTGGTTAGAGTTGCTAGCCCAGGAATGTTACTGTTATCCTCTAGCTTTTTGCCTGGAGGCTAGCAGTACAGGTTAGTTGAAGAGTTTTGTGTTGTTAGTTGATTGAAAAAAACCCTCAGGTGTTCAGCATAAGGGTATTTCCAAGGGTGGGGCTGATGCTGGTTGTTAATGATCCTCAATTTGCATTTCAATGACCCTCAGGATGGGGTTGAATCTCTGAGGGAGGGGCTGCTGCCTCTCCCCAGAGCACTGGGAAGGAGCAATATGGCCACCATCCTGCCTGGCTGCAACTCAGCAAAAGCTCTGAGTGCCCTCCAAATCCAGAGTGTCCCCACACAGTTCCAGTCCAGTCTGCCCTCCCTCTGCCGGTGCCAAAGGTGAGTGGCTGTGGCTATTTTAGCCTCTGTCCCAGCTCTGCGCTGTGGAGTCGCTTGGGAGTTTAACCCGAGGGCGCTGCTCACAGCTAATGCCACTGCCGAGCTGCCGACCATGGGCTCCCAGCCCCCCATCTCATGCCTTCGCAATCCTACCAAAATAAAGTCAGTGTCCTTGGTTATATGGTCCTCACAAGCTGCTTTTCTGTTGATTTTCCCATCAATTTGTCTGCGTTTTAGTTGTAATTCCAGTTTGGTCCTGGGAGACGGTCTGTGTAGCTTCCATTCACTCTGCCGCCATTTTGTAATCCCTTCTCTGTCATTTAAATCACGTTTTCATGTTTATTTTCTGCAATTTTTTTCATTTTTTTCTGAGTTTTCTTCTTACCTTGGTTATTTGTGGTATTTGATGCTTTCTTTCTCTGTCTAGGCATCTATGTATGAGTGGTATTTCTCTAGTAGATTAATAAGAAGTGTTTCAATTGTTTTCCAGTAGGTGGCACTGAATCACACGTTTTTTAGCTCTCTAACACTTCTCAGGTTTTTCCGATCTCCTTAGGATGGTGGAAAATGGCCTGTTCCCTGTGAAGGTGGGAACCTCCCCTGTGTTCCAGTCATCCTGGTCTCAGAGGACCAACCCCATAAGGGAATGCAGTGGGCAATCAGGCTCCAACTCTGTAAAATCCCAGTGCTGTCCTCCAGAGCCACAAAGCACCAGCCCTGCCAATGTATGGGGTGGAGTGAGCTGGGAGGACTTAGCTGCCTCCTTTGATGTTTTATTCTCTCAACAATAGCAAACATCAGATTGCCATGGTGTCCCCCCTGCACCTTCACATAATCCTGGAATTGGTTCAAAGTACACCCTTTGCTCAGGGAAAAGGTGTTGCTGTAGAACCAGTTCTTGGTTCTATTACCTTTGTAGATAATGTGCTCTGCAATTTGACATAAAGAGGGAGGTGAGAGGAGCTTTAGGAGGTTAAGGGAAAACAGCCATACTCTGAAGCTTTGGTTCTATGTCTGGAATGCTGACTACCAGACAACAATGACCACACATCTGTGCTTCATCCCTGCCCAAATCACTGGGTCAGCCACAGCTCATATTGTCCACTCCTGCCAAAATGCTCACTAAAAATATTTGTTCCTCTAGGATGAAGGGAGTGCTAGCCACAACCTCATTCCTCCACTCACTGTGCCGAATCCTGCAGTAAGCTCCAGGTTGCAGGTGGTGGCTACTTTGAACTCTTCACCCTTCTCCCCTCCCTGGTTGACACCCACTTACCCACCTTTATTTTTTTAAATTCTCACCAAAGCATGTACTTTTTTAATGGATATTTTAGAAAGAGGAAGGGGGAGAGAGAGAGAGAGAAACATCAATATGAGAGAGAAACATTGATCAGTTGCCTCCCACATGCACCCCCACCACAGATCAAACCCACAGCCTGGGTATATACTCTGACTGGGATGATGCTCCAACCAAATATGCCACATCAGCCAGGGCTACTTGCCCACCTTTAGCTGATTCAATGCACAGATCTCTCAGACATGTTTGTGCATTGAGCAGGGAATTCTTTTGAATTATAGCTGTTCAAATTGTTGAAACTTCAAAGGGAGAGAACAAGGGAATCTCTCATACCAACATTCCTCTGAAATTAATCTTCCAAATCTCCAAAATAGTTTTTAAAATTGGTTATGAGGGCTAAAGAGAGACAGACCAATAACTAGACGGGAATGTAGCATCAAATTAGAAAGACATGAGCATATTTAAAAACTGAAACGAAGGACACAGTTTGAATGGGAAAAGTTTAATATACACAAGAGAATGATCAAATTACTTGAGAAGCCAAGATGAGATCCAAACATAGGTAAAAGAATGAGTTTTATGTAAGAGAAGAAACAATAAACTCTGATTAACAGGAGGAAAGGAAGATAGAATCAGTATGGGTGTAAATAAGTTGGGGTTTGTATGTGCGTGTTTGTTTGGGTATTTGTTTTTGGTAGCAGGAATTCTAACCATTGGCTTCTACATCAAGCATTTCAAGTGATTGGGGAAAGTGAAGATAAAAATTGGTCTAAATGAGTGAGTTTGAGATGATGGCTAAAAAGGCTTCAAATCAATTTCAGATGTGATTGAACTTCCAGCCAGTATTTGGAATAATTGTATCTTGTGTCACTTTCTTCAGCAGTGTTTCACAGCTAAGCCCAAAGAGTGAATAACTTCATTTATTCAGGGTTATGTTTTGTTTGACAAGAGTAACAATAACAACAACAAGAGAAAAAGGTAAAGGAGATTAGTAAATTAAGAAATTCACTGTGATGAAGTACATAGTCTCCAAGCTGAAAAGAAAAAATGAGTAAAAAGATTTCAAGAATATAGAGGAATAAATGAACCAGTTGTCTTGACATCAAGAACTGTCCAGAGCAGTATTTAAAATAATAATTGGAAAGGTAGAAAATTTTAGTTCAAGAATGAGTTGACTGGATTTGTAATTCTTAAAATAAAACAATTTGGTTAATGATAAGGTCAAGAGTATGACTGGAAGTGGGGCAAGAGATAAAGAAAAATGTAGATCTTCAGAGATGAGAAAGTCAAGGACCCAAGAAGCCAGAGTTTTGGATGGGTCTCACGCATTGACACAGCTAAGTGTATAAAGAAGGGAGCAAGACAAATGTATAAAAAATAGAATGAAAATAAGAAAGCAAAATATAAGCTGGATTACCCAAATTACAAAGAAATACCAATTTACAAGAGGGTGGGGGGAATAGTGAACTTCACCCCAATATTTTTTCTCTGGAAAGATAATGACGAATCTACCACAATCAAAGTACAGATTCCACCACTCTTCCAATGTCAGCCATATCTATTCTAAAACAAAGAGTACAAGACCAAAAAAGTCTCCTCTGGGGCGAGGAGTAAAAGAATAAAAAGGTGCTAGAATACCATTTTTATTTTTATTCTTCAATTTATGTCCCAAATAAATAAACCTCTTTAATTTCAAATGTCTGGGCTTCAAAAGTGTTTAATTGGGCATATCCAAGGGAGAACCAAAATAATTCCATGAATCACTGAAGCTGCCCTGGAAACCATTCTCCTATATTAACAACATACCTAGTCTTTTTCAAAACAAAATAAAAAACCCCTGAGAAAAGACACCAGTAGTTTTTCAAACTGGTGGGAAAGCACCTAAAAATCAAAAGTACAAAAATATCATTAAAATAACATTAAAATTTTAAAATACCAATATATAATTTTACAGGTAAGCATCTACAATATGCATGACTTTTTAAATGTAGGGTAATTTTTAAGTTAAGTTTTTTCTTGGTACTTGTTCTTTTATGTAAATTAGGAAAAGAATAATAATTAAATTTCTATTATTCAATTTTATGTGAAAGAATGTGCCAAACTCCGATATACATAGGAATGTAGTATGTAAACCACTGAGAAACTTTTATTCCATCTATTCATTCTTTTTCTATGTAAATCAATATTATAACCAATGGTTACTCAAAAAATTAACTTATACTTCAAATTGTTTTAAAAATGAAACAGAATATTAATTTAATTAACAATTAAGAAATCTTATATTTACCTCTTCCATCTGATTGACCTGTCGCTGAAACCACTTTAAAAAAAAAATCAGAAAAGAAATAGTTGACAAGTTAAATTTCAACAGTGAAATTAATCAGTATGCATATATGTATGTGTGTGTGTGTGTGTGTGTGTGTGTGTGTGTGTGACAGAAAGAGAATTTTCATATATCAAATATTAGTATTGAACCAAACATAATTTATCCTAGGGCTTAGAATAGGGCTAATGTAACATACAATTGGAACAAATTATTTTTAAATATATATATGTATATATATATATATATCAGCAAGTTTGGCATTTTTTTTTACTTCCTTAAAATGTAGAAACTTCTTGATTTGCATGTATTTCTGTATATATTTGAATTTTTCTTCTTTTTTTTTTATCCTCACCTGAGGACACTTTTGCATTTATCTTCAGATAGAGAGGGAGAAAGGAGAAAAAGAGAGAGAGAGAAACATCAATGTGAAAGAGACACACTGACTGGTGCCACCTACACAATTCCAATTGGGGCCAGGGACAAACCACAACCAAATACATGCCCCTAGCAGGAACCAAATCTGGGTCTCTCTGGTCCGTGGGCCAATCAGAGCCAAACTGGCCAGGACTGTATTTCTGAATTTAATTTTAGTAAACTTAACCACAATATTTTTAACATACCTTAAAAAGAGATTCCAAAATCTGAAAAATAAAGTTTTAATTAAACATTTTAAAATAAAATTCTTCATAATGTAACTGATAAAATATTTAATTCAAGTCTCTTACAATTTTCAATCACAAAAATGTACAAATTATTAAAATGAAATTATGCATCTATAATTTAAAGTCATAAAATTTTAATATTTATAGAAAGAATTTAGGACAAATTGCATAGCAAACTTAGCTCTAGAAAAAATGTTTTCCATCTTTATAGATCTATATTAAAAGAAACCTCAAAATAATATACATATTAATTTATGTATTTTCTTAATAGAGGTAAGAAATAAAATTTAAATTCCTCTCAGAAGAGCTTTATTTTTTCCTATAGCAAAGAGTACAATAATGAAAAGCATTACCTTACCAAACATTACCTATTCAATATAATTTTGCTCTGCTAAAGGGCCTAAAAAAATCAAAATATAAAATAGTATACTACTACTTAATATGTTTAACAGAAAATGCAAAGATCTGGTATAGGAGCTTGGGAGAGAAACTAAATATACAAAAAGCAATCACATAGTCCAGAATATCAATATATATCACTTAGAAAACGTACTGCTGGAAGATAGCTGTGGGCAGGACTGGAGGGGGGTGAGTATGTGAGAGACTGAGCAAGTGTGTGAGAGAGTGTGAGTGGATGTGAAGGTGGACAACCAAACCCCAGCAGTGCAGAAACGAGGAACAGAAGATTCCTGTACTGTGGAGAAGAGCAGCCAGCTACCATAGTAAGTGGTCCTTCAGGGTGCTTCTCCCTGCACCCCAAGGAGATCCCACCATTTGGGAAGATCCTGGGACTTCCCTGGGAGGAGGCAGTAGGAGAAGCTAGGGCCCAGCAACCTGAGCCCACCAGCGCACCAGGAACCATCAGACCAGTGCACACTCTGTGTCAACACAGACCAGTGCACAGTAGTGGAGCTCCCAAGGTACAGGTCACGGAAGCTACAGACAACCCAGAGCCCAGCACCATCCCCCATAGTGGAAGCCCGATCAGAGTCTAGATATACCCCCAGCAATGTAGGCTGGGGAGCAGACATCCATCCCAAGGCAACAGAAGCACAGACCAGCAACTGAGACCCACCCCCAAAAACTACAGCAAAAGCTGAGCAGGAGTTGAACCCCATGGGGCAGCAGCACTCCCCAGCCGCCAGCGGCTGAAACTGGGGCTCCACAGAGCCCTGTGAGATCCAGTAGCTCACGAGAGCAGTGGGAAGCCAGAGCAACAGAGAGATTGGTGCTATCCACCTGCACACCCACGGGACCTGCAGGGTGCAGGGGCACCTGAGAGGCCTGTGCAACCCAGCAGGGTCTGTGCAATCCAGTTACCCTTGGGAACTGTGGGGTGCTGAAGCATCAGAGAGGACTGTGCAACCCAGCAGGGACTATATAATCTAGTTACCCATGGGGCCTTTGGGGTGCTAAAGCACCAGAGAGGCCTGCACAACCCAAGAGGGACTGTGTCATACAGCTACCCATGGGACCTGCGGGATGCTAACGCACCAGAGAGGCCTGTGCAACCCAGCAGCCCACAACCTGGGCATAGAACCAGGTCCCCAAGGGAACTGTGCTATCCAGTTAACCACAGGAGCTGCAGGGTTCTGGGTCACCAAGAAGGCCTGTGTGACCCAGCTACACAAAAGATAGGCATAGAGAATGTGAAAAACAGAGGTGGAGTGAATAGAAGCTACGCAGATAATTTCCCAGGACCAAACAGGAATTACAACTAAAATAAAGAAAAAAACCTAAAAAAAAAAAAAAAACAAAGCAACAGAAGAAAATGTCAGTGGAGTGAATAGAAGCTAAACAGACCATCTCCCAGGACCAAACTGGAATTACAACAAAAATAAAGACAAAATCATCTAGAAAAAGCAACAGAAAAGCAGCTTGGAGGACCATATAACCAGGGACAACAATCTAACCTGGTAGGATTGAGGAGGAGGGAGAGGGGGGCTGGGCACCCACAGAAAGCAACAGCCTTAGCTATGAGCAGCGCACTCATGTTAAACTCCCAAGCTGCTCTACAGTGCAGAGCCAGGATAGAGGCTAAAATAGCCACAGCCACTCACCTTGGGCTCTGGCAGAAGAAGGGCAGACTAAACTGGAACTGTGTGGAGACACTTGGGATTTGGAGAGCGCTCAGAGCTTTTGCTGAGTTGTCCTTATGCAGGACTGTAGTCATCTTACTCCTTCACAGCCTCTGGGGAGAGGCTGCAGCCCCTCCCTCATAGTTTATCCCCACCTGGTAGCCATTGAAATGCAAATTGAGGCCCACTAATAACCAGCATCTGCCCCACCCTTGGGATATCCCCTTATGCTGAACACTTGAGGGAGTTTTTCATTCAACTGAGAAGCCAAGGCTCTTCAAGTAACCACTACTGATAGCCACCAGGTAAAAAGCTAGAGGATAACTATAGCATTCCTGGGCTAGCAACTGCATCAAGAAAAGTGATACTCAACAATGGTGTTTAACGTGGGTTCTCGCTGGCTCATCCAAATCCACAAGAGGGAGCTACAAACAGCAGAACACCAACACACACAGGGAAAATTCAGCAGGCTCCAAAGCCCACTGTGATAAACACAATGGTAAAACACAGAAACAAAAGCCAAATGAAAGAACAAGATACCTCTACCAAAGATGAGATAAATGAGGTGCAGTTAAGCAAGATAACAGAACGAGAATTTAGAGCCATGATCTTGAGGAAGCTCAACAGCATGTGTAAGGACATGAGCACCATGAGTAAAGACATAAAAATGTTGAAAATCAACCAGTTGGAAATTAAAAACCACCAAGAAAAAATGAAGAATGAAATATCAGAAATAAAGAACACAATAGAGGTCTAAACAGTGGAGTAGAGGAAGTGGAGGATCGGACCCTTGAATTAGAAGACAGTGTAGAAAAAAATCAACTAATCAGGAAAACAAAAAGAAAAAAAAAAACAATTAAAAAGCAGAAAGACAGCTTAAGAACTGTGGTACAACTGGAAACGTAATAACATTCGCATCATAGGAGTTCCCAAAGAAGAAGAAAATGGGCAAGGGTTAGATAATATATTTGAAGAATTAGAGACAGAAATCTTTCCTAACTTGGGGAAGGAAAAAGGTATTCAAGTTCAAGAAGCACAGAGAGCCCCAAGTAAGAAGAACCCAAAGAGGTCCACACCAAGACACATAGTAATTAAAATGCCAAAAATTAAAGACAACGAGAGAATCCTAGAAGCAGCAAGAAATAAGCAACAGGTTACCTACAAATGAACCCCCATAAGGCTCTCAGCTGACTTCTCATCAGAAACAATAAAGGCCAGAAGAGAATGGCATGAGGTAATCACAGTCATAAAAAACAAGGATCTGAATCCAAGACTACTCTATCCAGCAAGGCTATCATTCAAATAGAGGGTCAAAAAAAGATCTTCTCAGACAAAAAAAAAAAGGCTAAGGGAATAGATTAGCACCAAACAAGTACTGCAAGAAATGTTAAAAAGACTGCTATAATTAGCAGGAGAAATAGGAAGAAAAATAGAACCACACTAAACAAAAATGGCAATAAATAAATATGTACCAATAATCACCTTAAATTTAAATGGATTGAATGCTCCCATAAAAAGACACAGAGTAGATGATTGGATAAGAAAGCATGATTCATCTATATGTTGTTTACAAGAGACCCAACTCACAACAAAAGACTCACACAGGTTGAAAGTGAAGGGTTGGATAAAAGTCTTCCAAGGAAATGGAAAGCAAAAATAAGCTGGGATAGCAATACTCATATCTGATAAAATAGATTTCAAAATGAAGGCTGTAACTAGAGACAAAGAAGGTCACTACATAATATTGAAAAGATTTATCGAACAGTAAGATGTAACCTTGATAAACATATATGCACCCAATGTAGGAACACCAACATATACTAAAAATCTGGAAAACATCAAAAGAGAAATCGATAGCAATACGATAATAGCAGGGGACTTCAACCCCACTAACATCACTGGTAGATCCTCTAGGCAAAAAGTCAGCAAGGAAAGAGAGACTCTAAATGAAGCACTAGACCAAATGGATTTCATACATATCTACAAAGAATTACACCACAAAACTACAGAATGCACAATCTTCTCAAGTGCACATGGGACATTCTCAAAGATTGACCACATGTTAGGACACAAACTAAGTCTCTACAAGTTCAAGAAGATTGAAATTATATCAAGCATCTTCTCAGATCACAATGGCATGAAACTACAAATCAACTGCAACAAGAACATGCAAAGACATTTGTACACATAGAGGTTATATAGCATGTTATTAAAGAATGAATGGGTTACTGAGGAGATAAAGAAAGAAATTAAAAACTTCCTGGAAAGCAATGAAAATGAACACACAACAAAACAAAATCTATGGGATGCAGCTCAAGCAGTTCTGACAGGGAAGTTCATAGCACTATAGGTCTCCTTCGAGAAACAAGAAAAATCTCTAATAGACTATCTAACCTCACAACTTAAAGAATTATAAAGCAAACAAACAAACAAACAAACAAAACACAGAGCATGTAGAAGAAAAGAAATAGTAAAAATCAGAGCAAAAATGAATGACAGAGTCCAAGAAAACAATTCAGAGGATCAATAAAACAAAAAGCTGATTTTCATAAAGATAAACAAGATTAATGGACCCTTAGCTAGACTCACCAAGATACAAAGACAGAGAAACCATATGCACAAAATCAGAAATGACAGAGGAGAAGTAACAACTGACACCACAAAAATACAAAAAATCGTTAAGAACTACTATGAACAATTATATGGCAATAAATTCGACAATCCAAGCGAAATGGACAAATTTCTAGAAACACAGCCTCCCAAAATTGGAAAGGGAAGAGATAAAAAACTTGAACAGACCAATAACAGCTAAGCAAATTGAAGATGTAATCACGAGTCTCCCAGCAAACAAAAGCCCAGGCTGGGATTGCTTCACAGGAAAGTTTTACCGAACATTCAAAAATAAAACTAACACCCATTCTCTTCAAATTATTTCAAAAAAATGAAGAAGAAAGACTTCCAATCTCCTTTTATCAGGCCAGCATACCTCTAATTCCAAAACCAGAAAAAGACATTACAAAGAAAGAAAACGATAGTCCAATATCCCTGATGAACAATGACACCAAAATCCTGAACAAAATACTAGCAAATTGAATCCAGCAATACATCAAAGAAATTATTTATCATGACCAAATGGTATTAATCCCAGGAATGCAAGACTGGTACAATATTTGCAAATCAATAAATGTGACATAACACAAACATCAAAACAAGAATAAAAACAACATGATCATATCAATAGATGTTGAAAAAGCATTCAACAGAATTCAGCATTCATTTCTGACAACAATGCTCAACAATGTGGAAATAGAGGGATCATATGTCAACATAATAAAGCCCATATATGAAAGACCTACAGCCAACATGATACTCAAAGGGTAAAACTAAAAGCATTTCCCTTAACAACAGGAACAACACAGGGATGACCACTTTCACCACTCTTATTTAACATAATACTGGAAGTCTTAGCCACAGCAAAGAGATAGGAAGAAAAAATAAAAGGGATTCAAATAGGAAAGGAGGAAGTGAAATTGTCATTATTCACAGATGACCTGATACTATACTTAGAAAACACCAAAGACTCCATCAAAAACTTACTAAACTTAATAAATGAATTTGGCAAATTTGCAGGATAAAAAATTAAAGTCAAGATATTGATAGCATTCTTATACACCAATGATGAACTCACAGAAACAGAAACTGAGAAAACAATCCATTTACCAAAAAATTAAGATACCTAGGAATAAACTTAGCCAAAGAAATAAAAGACCTATTCACAAAAAAATACAGGTCATTGAAAAAAGAAATGGAGGAAGACATAAAAAAGTGGAAGCCCATACATTGTTCATGGATTGGAAGAATTAACATCATTAAAATGTCCATATTACCCAAAGCAATCTGTAGATTCAATGCAATCCCCATCAAAATACCAATGACATACTTCACAGAACTAGAACAAATACTTCAAAAGTTCATATGGAACCAAAAAAGACCTCTAATACCCACAGCAATCTTGATAAAGGTGAACAAAGTAGAAGGGATCACATTACCAGATTTCAGGTTAAAGTACAAAGCCACTGTAATCAGAACAGCCTGGAACTAATACAAGAACAGGCATATAGACCAGTGGAATGGAACAGAGAACCCAGAAATGGACCCCAGACAATATGCTCAATTAATATTTGACAAAGGTGGCAAGAGCATACAGTGGAGTAAACACAGCCTCTTTAATAAATGGTGTTGAGAAAATTGAACAGCTATAAGGAAAAAACAATAAAACTAGACCATCAACTTACTCCATACACAAGAATAAACTCAAAATGGGTAAATGACATAAATGTGACTCATGAATACATAAAAATCCTAGAAAAAAATGTAGGCAACAAAATCTCAGACATCATACGCAGCAGAATTTTCACTGGTACATCACCTAAGGCAACAGAAACAGAGGAGCAAGTGAACACATGGGACTACATCAAACTCAAAAGCTTAAGCACTGCAAAGATGCAATCATCAAAATGGAAAGGCAACCCACTGTATGGGAGAGCATAATTGCCAATGATATATCAAATAAGGGGTTAATTTCCAATATATAGAGAGTGCTCATACAATTCAACAAAAGGAAGACAAAAAAACTAATTAAAAAATGGGCAGTGGAACTGAATAGACACCTCTCCAAACAGGACATACAAATGGCCAAGAGACATATGAAGAAATGCTCAACATCACTAATCATCAGAGAGATGCAAATTAAAACAACAATGCGGTATCTCCTCACACTTGTCAGAAGGACTGCCATCAACAAATCATCAAACAATAAGTGTTGGCGAGGGTGTGGAGAAAAGGGGACTCTAGTACACTGCTGGTGGGAATGCAGACTGGTGCAGCCACTATGGAAAACAATATGGTGTTACCTCAAAAAATTAAAAATTGAACTTCTATTTGACCTAGTGATCCCACTTCTAGGAATATACCCTAAGAAGCCTGAAATACCAATCAGAAAGAATATATGTACCCCCATTTTTGTAGCAGCACTATTTACAATAGCTAAGATCTGAAAAATGCCCAAATGTCTATATGTAGATGATTGGATAAAAAAGCAGTGGTATATATATACAATGGAGTACTATGCAGCTGTAAAAAAAAGACAGATCTCTTATCCTTTGAGATGACATGGAGGAACCTAAAAAATGTCATCCTAAGTGAAACACGCCAAACAGAGAAACACAAGTATCATATGATCTCACTTATTTGTGGAATATAATGAACATGACAGTCTGAGGAATGGAGTAGTCCCAGACATGTGGAAGTGAGGTACAGACTGACAATTCCCTGAAGAGGGTGTGGTGGGGGAGAGATAAATCACAGAACTTATATGCATGTATGCATGAACAATGGACATGGACAACAAAGCTAGGAAAAAGGAGGGAAGGGAATGGGAGGGGGAGTCAGTGGGGGGAAAAGGAGAAACATCTGTAACAAAAATAAATTAATCAATTTTTCTAAAATTGAAGATAAAAAGCTTCCCAGACAAAATAATGCTAAGGGAATACATTAGCACCAAATCAACACTACAAGATATGCTAAAAGAACTGCTGTAATTACTTGAAGAAAGAGAAAAAAAAATAGAACCACACTAAACAAAAATGAAAATAAATAAGTACATATCAATAATCACCCTAAATGTAAATAGTTTGAATGCTCCAATAAAAATACACAGAGTAGCTGCTGAATAAGAAAGCATGACTCATATATATGTTGTTTACAGGAAACCCAGATCAAAACAAAAGACTCACATAGGTTGAAACTGAAAGGATGGAAAAAAAAATCTTTGAAGCAAACAGAAAGTGGAAAGAAAAGTCAGGATAGCAATAATCATATCAGATAAATCAATTTCAAAATAAAAGCCATAACTAGAGACAAAGAAGGCCACTACATAATATTGAAAGGATCTATCCAACAGGATAACCGTGGTAAACATATATGTACTCAATATAGGAGCACCATAGATATTAAAAATCTTCTGGAAGACTTCAAAGGAGAAATCAGCAGCAATACAATCACTCATTTGTGGAATATAATGAACATAACATTCTGAGGAATGGGGTAGTCCCAGAGACATGGAAGTAGGGTACAGACTGAGAATCCCCTGAAGTGGGAGAGGAGGGGAAGAGATAAACCACAGAACTTATATACATGTATGCATGACCAATGGACATGGACAACAAAGCTGGGGAGAGGGCAGGGAGGGTGAGGAGTGTGTCAATGGGGGGGGAAAAAAAGCATCTGTAACAAAATTAATTAATTAATTAAATTAAAAACAGAAAAGAAGAAAGAAAAAAAGCCAAACTGAGAGTAACAGTTTATACAATGGTGGTTACCAGGATACAGGAGGAGAAGGTCATAGAAAGTTAGTTATTGCTTAATGGATAGGGAGATTCAGTTTTGTAAAAGGAAACAAGTTCTAATGGATGACAATGATGATTGCACAATATAAATGTACTTATTACCACTGAACTGTATTCTTAAAAACAGTTAAGGTAGTTTTATGTTATGGATATTTTAGCACAATAAATATTGGAAAAAATGTATCTATTAATGTACATATAAGTATATATACATGTATACATACATATGTGTATATATACACAGTAAAACATTAGAAACTATATTCTAAAATATTAATGATGCTTTTATATTAGAGTGAAATTACATGTAATTTATGTTTACAAGTGTTCCACAAGAAAACTTTTATAATCAGACAAAACACAATACATGTTTATTTTTCAAAACTTAAATATAAGAAATTATATTACCAAATAGAATGTAAAATATAATTTCATTTAAAAAATTATATATATATATATATATGGAAAAACAGGAAGGTAAATATATGTTTACAATAGTTGGTTATCTTGGGGAAATCAAATTATGGTCATTTTATTTTCTTCCTTTTGAATGTCTTTTTAATTTTCATTAATTATATAACTTTTGTAATATAACTTATAAAAACACAATAAAATATAAATAGTACATATGTAAATATCAATGACCCAATTAGTGCTTTACTCAAAGGAAAACTTATTGAACTAAATGCCTATGCTAAGAGTAAAGAAAAATAAATAATGCTTTCTAATGCACTTTATAACTAATTAAGGCACTGAATCTAGACTAACAATGCTGACTGGATAATTATAGTCAAGTCAAATAACCAATATAACATTAAATATTTTATTATTAAAGTTATTGTTAATAATTAATAATTTAAGTATATATTAATATTGTTCTATTGTTATTATTGATTAATATTAAGATTATTAAAAGTAAGCAATATTTTATAGTTGGCAGTTTACGCAGAATACATACATGACGTTCCTCTTTAACTGTTCCTTCTAACTGAGCTGCAAATTGCGAACAACATTCCAAGAATAAATTTAGATCATCTCCAACCTTTGAAAAGAACAACAAAACAGAAAGTTGTTTTTATTTAAGAATTTATATGCATATTCATCTATATTTTAGTATATTTGACTGGTTTTAATTTTTTTGTCTTTTTTAAAGAACACTTTTTAGTCCTAAAAGTAACATATGATTGTTTTAATATACAAATAAATCAGAAGAAACTGAAAAATCACCTGTATTTCCTCCACCTCATTGTTGGTTTGTTTGTTTGCTACACCTCATTGTAGTCTTTCTGAAATTCATTCATAGAACTATTTTTCACAAAAAGTGAATTGTATGGCATACAGTTTTTTAAAAATTGTATATAGATATTTTTGTTTTTTCATTATTTAATAAATTTAATTTTGTTACAAATGTTACTTCTTTTCCCCCCATTGAAAGCTCTTCCCATTCTCACAGTAGTGACAGAGATCAAATATTATTAAAATTTAAATTATGGAAAAGTTAGTTATTGGTTATGACAGAAACAAGAGAATACCTTATCATTTAGTGGTTGATGCAGGATAGAAGACAAGATTATTGGAGGAAAAAAATTCAGTAAACTGAGATACCAGATTATTTGAAAAAATCTACATTAATGTTGAAATCATAAAAAATTATGACAATAGTAGTGTTGTGAGACAAGTAGAAGAATATCATTATAATAAAGAAAATGGGTCGCATACCTTATATTGATTATTCTTTTCTTCCTTACTGATGTGATCTCTATTTTGTTGGAGATGGCAATGTGGATAGCTAATAATAACTATAGTAATAGTAATAATAAATTTTCCAAGCTCTTTTACCAATAAAATACCCATGTATCTCAATTAAGCCAATGAGAGAAAAAGAAACTGTTGGGCAGTAGTTCTAAAGAGATCCTTAAAGGCAAATATGCCTTTTATAATTAGGATGTGAAAAGATATGAGAAGCTTTCACTCCAATGTTAACATTACAAATATATATATATATATATATATATATATATATATATATAAAATAACTATCATTTTCTTTGAAGAAACTGAAAAGAAGAGGACATAAGAAAAGCTTGATGGGAGATGGCGGCGGGCAACTCTGGAGAGAAAATGAGTGTGTGAGAGAGTAAGTGAGTGTGTGAGAGAGTAAGTGAGTGTGTGAGAGAGTAAGTGAGTGTGTGAGAGAGTGTGAGTGGACGCGAAGGTGGACGACCAAACCCGAGCAGTGAAGAGACGCGGAGCAGAAGGTTCCTGTGATGTGGACAGGAGCAGCCGGCTACCGTAATATTTGGAAAAATAACCTAGGGTGAAAATTAAAAAAAAAAAAATTAAAGAAGATTCCAAAATGGTGGCAGAGTGATGGAAGCTACACAGACCATCTCCCAGGACCAAACTGGAATTACAACAAAATAGAGACAAATCATCAGGAAAAAGCAACAGAAAAGCAGATTGGAGGACCATATAACCAGGGACATTGATTGATCCTGGTAGGCTAGTGGAGGAGCAAGAGGAAAGCTGGGAGCCCACAGACAGCAGCCTTAGCTGTGAGCGGCGCCCTCGGGTTAAACTCCCAAGCGGCTCCACAGCGTAGAACCAGGACAGAGGCTAAAATAGCCACAGCCACTTACATTGGGCTCCAGTAGAGATTGGACTGGAACTGTGTGGAAACACTCGGGATTTGGAGGGCACTCAGAGCTTTTGCTCAATTGTGGCCATGCAGGGCTCCTTCCCAGGGCTCTGGAGAGAGGCAGCAGCCCCTCCCTTAGAGATTCAACCCCACCCAGAGGCCATTGAAATGCAAATTGAGGCCAATTAACAACCAGCATCTGCCCCACCTTTGGAAAATCCCCTTATGCTAAACAGCTGAGGAAGTTTTTCACTCAACTGAGAAGCCAAGGCTCTTCAAGTAACCAACACTGACAGCCTCCAGGCAAAAAGCTAGAGGATAACTGAACCTTTCCTGGGTTTGCAAATCTACCCAGGAAAGTAAGACTTGACAGTGGGGTTTAACGTGGGTTCCCCCTGGCTCATCCAAACCCACGAGAGGGAGCCACAAACAGCAGAACACCAACACACACAGGGAAAATTTGGGAGGCTCCAAAGCCACTGTGATAGCCAAAATGGTGAAACACAGACACAAAAGCCAAATAAAAGAACAAGAAACCTCCACCGAAGATGAGATAAATGAGGTGCAGTTAAGCTAGTTAACATAACTAGAATTCAGAGCCATGACCTTGAGGAAGTTGAACAGCATGTGTAAGAACATGAGCACCATAAGTAAAGACATAGAAATGTTGAAAATCAACCAGTTGGAAATTAAAAACCACCAAGAAGTGAAGAATGAAATATCAGAAATAAAGAACACATTGGAAGGTCTAAACAGCAGAGTAGAGGAAGCGTAGGACCAGATAGTGAATTAGAAGAGAAAATCAACCAATCAGAAAACGAAAAGGAAAAAGACCATTAAAAAACAGGAAGACAGCTTAAGAGAACTGTGGGACAACTGGAAACATCATAATATATGCATCATAGGAGTCCCCAAAGAAGAAGAAAATGATCAAGGGTTAAAGAATATATTTGAAGAAATAGTGACAGAAAGCTTCCCTAATTTGATGAAGGAAGAAGGCATTCAAGTTCAAGAAGCACAGAAAGCCCCAAGTAAGAAGAATCCAAACAGGCCCACACCAAGACACATAGTAATCAAAATGCTAAAAATTAAAGACAAAGAGAGAATCCTAGAAACAGCAATTAATAAGCAACAAGTTACCTACAAGGGAACCCCCATAAGTCTCTCAGCTGACTTCTCAACAGAAACACAACAGGCCAGAGGGAATGCGTGAGGTAATCAAGGTCATGAAAAACAAGGATCTGAATCCAAGACCACTCCACCCAGCAAGGCTATCATTCAAAATAGAAGGTCAAACAAAGAGCTTCCCAGACAAAAAAAAAAAAAAAAAAAGGCTAAGGCAATACATTAGCACCAAACAGGCACTACAAGAAACCTTAAAAAGACTGCTATAAATAGCAGGAGAAATAGGAAGAAAAATAGAACCACACTAAACAAAAATGGCAATAAATAAGTACATATCAATAATCACCTTAACTGTAAATGGACTGAATGCTTCCATAAAAAGACACAGAGTAGCTGATTGGATAAGAAAGCATGACGCATCTATATGTTGTTTACAAGAGACCCACCTCACAACAAAAGACTCACATAGGTTGAAAGTGAAGGGATGGGAAAAAGTCTTCCAAGCAAATGGAAAGGAAAAAAAGCTGGGGTAGCAATACTCATATCTGATGAAATAAATTAAAAAATGAAGGCCATAACTAGAGACAAAGAAGGTTACTACATAATATTGAAAGGATCTATCCAACAGGAAGACATAACCTTGATAAACATATACGCAGCCAATATAGTACCGACGTATATTAAAAATCTTCTGGAAGACTTCAAAGAAGAAATTGATAGCAATATAATCATAGCAGGGGACTTCAACACCCCACTGACATCACTGGATAGATCATCTAGACAAAAAATTAACAAGGAAACAAAGACTCAAAATGAAGTGCTAGATAAAATGGATTTAATAATTATCTACAGAGAATCACACCCCAAAACTGCAGAATTCACATTCTTCTCAAGTGCACATAGAACATTCTCAAAGATAGACCACGTGTTAGGACACAAACTAAGTCTCTACAGGTTCAAGGAATTTGAGACCATATCAAGCATCTTCTCAGATCACAGTGACATGCAACTAGATATCAATTGCAACAAGAACATGAAAAGACATTTGAACACATGGAAGCTAAATAGCATGTTATTAAACAACGAATGGGTTACCGAGGAAATAAGGAAGAAATTAAAACCTTCCTGGAAACCAATGAAAATGAACACACAACAACACAAGATCTATGGGATGCAATGCAAGCAGTTCTGAGAGGGAAGTTCATAGCACTACAGGCCAACTCAAGAAAAATCTCTAATAGACTATCTAACCTCACAGCATAAAGAACTAGAAAGCAAACAAAAAGAAAACCCCACAGCAAGTAGAAGGAAGGAAATAGTAAAGCTCAGAGCAGCAATAAATGACATAGAGTCCAAAAAAACAATTCAAGGATCAATGAAACAAAGAACTGGTTTTTCGAAAAGATAAACAAGATTGATGGACCCTTAGCTAGACTCACCACGAAACAAAGAGAGAGAACCCAAATACACAAAATTATAGATGAAATAGAAGAAGTAAAAACTGACACCACAGAAATACAAAAGATTGTTAACAGCTACTATGAACAATTATATGGCAACAAATTAGACAATCTAAGCTAAATGGACAAATTTCTAGAAAAACACAGTCTCCCAAAACTGGACCAGGAGGAGATAGATAATTTGAACATACCAATAACAGCAGAAGAAATTGAAGAGGTAATCAAGACTCTCCAGGAACCAAAATCCCAGGCCTGGATGGCTTCATTGGGGAGTTTTACCAAATTCTCAAAAAAAAAAACTAACACCCATTCTCCTCAAAAAAATTCAAAAAATGCAAAAAGAAGAAAGACTTTGAAACTCATTTTATGAGACCAGCATATTCTAATTTCAAACCAGAAAAAGACATTACAAAGAACGAAAACTACAGGCCAATATCCTTAATGAACATAGGATGCCAAAATCCTGAACAAAATACTAGCAAATCAGATCCAGCAAAACATCAAAAAATTATTCACCATGACCAACTGGGATTCACCCCAGGGATTCAAGAATGGTACAATATTTGCAAATCAATAAATGTGATACACCACGTAAATAAAATGAAGAATAAAAATCACATAATCATATCAATAGATGCTGATACAGCCTTGGACAAAATCCAGCATCCGTTTCTGATAAAAACGCTCAGAAATGTGAGAATACAGGGATCATATCTCGACATAATAAAGGCCATATATGAAAGACCTATAGCCAACATCATACTCAATGGACAGAAACTAAAAACATTTCCCTTAAGAACAGGAACAAAGCAAGGATGCCCACTTTCGCCACTCTTATTTAACATAGTACTGGAAGTCTTCACAACAGCAATCAGACAGGAAGAAAAAATAAAAGGGATCCAAATTGGAAAAGGAGAAAGTGAAACTGTCATTATTTGCAGATGGTGTGATACTATATATAGAAAACCCCAAAGACTACACCAAAAATTTACCAGATTTAATCAATGAATTTGGCAAAGTGGCAGGATACAAAATTAACGTCAAGAAATAGATGGCATTCTTATACACCAATGATGAATTCACAGAAAGAGACACTAAGAAAACAATCCCATATACCATTGCAGCAAAAAAATTAAGATACATAGGAATAAAGTTAACCAAAGAAATAAAAGACCTATTTGCAGAAAACTACAGGTCACTAAAAAAAAAAAAATACAGGAAGATATAAAAAAGTGGAAGCACATACCTTGTTCATGGATTGGAAGAATCAACATTATTAAAATGTCCATACTACCCAAAGCAATCTATAGATTCAATGCAATCCCCATCAAAATACCAACAACATACTTCACAGAACTAGAACAAATATTTCAAAAGTTCATATGGAACCAAAAAAGACCTCTAATAGCTACAGCAATCTTGAAAAAGAAGAACAAAGTAGGAGGGATCACATTACCAGATTTCAGGTTATACTACAAAGCCACTGTAATCAAAACAGCCAGGTACTGGCACAAGAACAGGCATATAGACCAGTGGAACTGAACTGAGAACCCAGAAATGGACCCAAGGCAATATGCTCAGTTAATATTTGACAAAGGTGGCAAGAGCACACAGTGGAGTAAAGACAGCCTCTTTAATAAATGGTGTTGGGAAAATTGGACAGCTACGTACAAAAAAATAAAACTAGACCATCAACTTACACCATGCACAAGAATAAACTCAAAATAGGTAAATGACTTAAATGTGACTCATGAATACATAAAAATCCTAGAAGAGACTGTAGGCAACAAAATCTCAGACATATCATACGCAGCAGATTTTTCACTGGTACATCACCTAAGGCAACAGAAACAAAGGAGAAAATGCACACATGGGACTACATAAAACTCAAAAGCAAAAGATACAATCATCAAAATGGAAAGGTAACCCACTGTATGGGAGAGCATAATTGCCAATGATATATAAGATAAGGGGTAATTTCCAATATATAGAGAGTGCTCATACAACTCAACAAAAGCAAGACAAAGAACCCAATTTAAAAATGGGCAGAAGAACTAAATAGACATCTCTCCAAACAGGACATACAAACGGCTAAGAGACATAGGAAGAAATAGTCAACATTACTAATCATCAGAGAGATGCAAATTAAAACAACAATGAGGTATCACCTCACACCTGTCAGAATCGTCACCATCAACAAATCATCAAACAACAAGTGTTGGCGAGGCTGTGGAGAAAAGGAGACTCTAGTATACTGCTGGTGGGAATGCAGACTGGTGCAACCACTATGGAAAACAATATGGTGTTACCTCAAAAAATTAAAAATTGAATTGTCATGTGACCCAGTGATCCCACTTCCAGGAATATACCCTAAGAAGCCTGAAACACTAATCAGAAAGTATATATGTACCCCCATGTTTTTAACATCACTATTTACAATAGCTAAGATCTGGAAACTGCCCAAATGTCCATCAGTAGACGAATGGATAAAAAAGCTGTGGTACATATAAACAATAGAGTACTGTGCAGCTGTAAGAGAGAAAGATCTCTTATCCTTTGAGACAACATGGAGGGGTCTGGAAAGTATCATCCTAAGTGAAACAAGCCAAACAGAGAAAAACAAGTATCATATGATCTCACTTATTTGTGGAATATAATGAACATAACAGTCTGAGGAATGTGGTAGTCCCAGAGACGTGGAAGTGGGGTACAGACTGACAATCCCCAAAAGACAGGGTGGTGGGGAAGACATAAACTACAGAACTTATATGCATGTATGCATGAACAATGGACATGGACACAAAAGCCTGGGAGACGGCAGGGAGGGTGGGGGAGTGGGGAATCGGGGAAGGAGAAACATCTGTAACAAAAATAAATTAATTAATTTTTACTAATTAATTAATTAGTTAGTTAATTTTTTAAAAAGTACATCGGTCAAGGTTGGGCAAAAACAGCTTTACAGTTGCGAGTACATAAAACACAGAGTTTATTCTTGTAGTGTTATTTACGAATTTGTATTATTTTCCATATGAGCAACTGTAAACCTACTTTTGCCCCATCATGTATAAGATCAACACACAAAACTCAATCATATCTCGACATACCAGTAACAAACATGTGAAAACTGAAATTTAAAACATAATGTGCCCTGGCCAGGTGGTTCAATTGGTTGGAGCATGGTCCCATTCACCAAATAGTTGCAGGTTCAATTCCTTAGGTATATCAGGGCACATACCTAGGTTGTGGGTTTAGTCTCCAGTCAGAGTGCCTATGGGAGGCAACCAATTGATGTTTCTCTCTCACATCGGTGTTTCTTTTTCTCTATCTCTCTCTTTCTCTCTCTCCCTTCCTCTCTCTAAAATCAATAAAAACATATCCTCTGGTGAGGATTAAAAAAAGTAATGTCATTAAAAAGTATTCCAAAAAACATGAATTAACATTTAAATCTAACAAATCATGTACAAGATTTGTATGGTGAAAATTACAAAATTCTGATTTTAAAAAAATCAAATAAGCCCTAAATAAATAGAGAAAGAAATACGGTATTCATGGATTAAAAGACTCAACATAGGTGTTCTGTCACCAGGAACCAAACTCAATCCCTACCTAACAAAACTAATTATAAAATAGAAGAAAAATATTCTATTAGTAAAATGTATTAAAATATAGTTGAATATTAAGAAATATGTAAAATTAATTATGTAAAATAATTCATAACCACCTTAGTTATATTACTTCAATATACACAACAAAGATTTTTTGAAATTTAATAACCCCTTTATTATCTTGTTTATTATTTTATTTAGCACACTAGAAATAGAAAAAAAACTTTTTTAACATGATGAAGTATACTTCAAACCAACTACCAACCACATGCTTAAAAATTAAACAGAAATATTAGCATTAAAAATAGACTCTCTCTCTCTCTCTCTCTCTCTCTCTATATATATATATATATATATATATGTGTGTATATATATATGTGTGTGTGTGTATATATATATATATATATATATATATATATATATATATTCAAGTTTCCTAAGAGGAAACTTAATGGATATGGAATTCATTCTGTAAACATATGTGAACTACAAAAGAAAATCCTAGCCCTTTTCAGTGTTAATGTCTCTATTTTAGGGTTACTTATACTTACAGATAAAGATAATTCTTCCTGTTCAGACTTCACAACTGGTTTTTCTACATTTTCATTACAAATTCCATAGGTTTCTTCCAAACTAGAAACAATCTATGAAAAAAAGCAAATTAAGTACTTTCATAATTTAAAATTATTATATTAAATGTAAAAAAGCTATTACATCAATCATGTCAGGACCTTTGTAGCAGAAGACTTATTTCTACCAGTGCTCTAAACTTAAATTTTCCATCTTTTGGTTCATCTCACTTCATTATGAAGAAGTGAAGAGCAACAGTCCTTGACCCTACCACCTAGCAAGAGAGGTTCTATGACTCTTACATTTCTTTTTTGACAGGTATTTAATAGGGAGAGCATCTGTCTATGCATAGCTGAAGCATCAACCCTACTTGCCACCAAAGTATTCCTCAAAATTTCACTGACGCAACTTTTTTCTTTGAAGAGAGTAGGGAAAATAGAGAGATGACAATCAGAAAGCAATAAATTTTTTAAGGATATTTTCTGAACTAACCTCTCAAACTTTGAGCAAATTTGTGTTTTAGAAGTTTGACAACCTATATTATTTTTATGTTTGTTCTATCCCTCATTGTTCTCACTTGATACTTGGTACATTCATAATTCAATTATGGATCATTGAGCAAAAAGGAACCCAGAGAAAGGGAGATTTATTTCCCAACAATAAAAGCTAAAGTTTCTAAATGCAGAGAAGAGTTGACATAGCAGGCATGAGACTTCAAAACGCCTCTCCTTAGAAAGATCTGTTCGCATCTCATAACTTGGATTTCAGGAGGGTTCCCACCATTCACTAACTGTAGTGGCTCACTGTCCTTACAACATTTGTACAAACAATAATTTATGCTAACACCTACTTTCTTTCAGGGAGTCTTGAATTTTGATACACGATAGGCAAAGTATATAAGTGATCAAGCCCCAGTAAACTCTAGGCACTGAATCTTCAGTGAACTTCTCTTGTAGACATTTCACATGTTTTATCACAATTTGTTGTTGGAGGAATTAAGTATGTCCTGTGTGACTCCAAAAAGTAAGAAATCTTGGAAACTTTGACCTGGTTTCCTCTAGACTTCACCCAGGTACATTTCCCTTTGCTGATTTTTCTTTGTATCCTTTCATTGTAATACATCTTAGCTATCAACTGTATGCTGAGTCCAGTGAGTCCAACTAGCAAATCACTAAACTGGGAGACGGTCATGAGGAGCTTCAACACAGGGAAAAATAAGTGACTCACCGTCTTCAGATGTTCAGTAGTTTTCCTGAGCAATTCATCTTCTGCTATTAACTCTTTGGTTTTACTTGACGGAATTGGCAAAGCATACCTCACTACAGATTCTCCTGTTGGTGGAGATCTTAAGACCATTTCAAGTTTGTCACATACTGATTTTGAACTTTGTTTTTCCTTTAGTTTAGGTGACAATGGTGAATTAAGTAGTCCTTTTTTGTGACTTAATTCTGGAACACTTGCCAATTTATTACTAGAGGACAACAGGTGCTTTACTGGCTTCATTTTGTTATTTACTTAGCTTCCAAATTATAGGTGAAAAATTTTATTCCTCCCTGTAAATAAAAGATGAAGATTTCAGATTTAAAACAATGGCAGGATTATTAATAGCCATGAAGAGGACGAATCCCAAAATCAACTCTGGAGAAATTACGAAATGAAAAGGAAAACATTACTAACAACAAATAATAAATTAAAAAAAAACAACCAACCTGTAATAAACCTGTAGAGGTGACTGAAGGCTGATTTATGTATGGGTATTTAGGATGGGGGCTGACAGGAGGGAAGAAGACAGTGATAGCAGAAAGAATATTTTTAGAAAACTTTAAAATGTTATTCTTAGTTTTTCCTCATTTTTTGAGCATATATATATATATATATATATATATATAAATATATTCAAGTCTTAACCCTTAAAACCTGTGACTATGTATTTGAAAATACAGTCTTTGCAGATGTAACCAAGTTAGCATGAGGTCATATTGTATTAGGGTGGACCCAAAATCCAATGACTTGTGTCATTATAAGAAAGACATGTGAAGACACATGTGCATAGACAAACAGGGAAGAAGGCCAAGTAATGACAGAGGCAGAGACTGGACTGATGTTGCTACGGGCCAAGGAATGTTAAGGATTGCCAGCATCTGCCAGAAACTAGGAAGAAGCTGGGGAAGATAGCCCTGCCAATACCTTGATTTCAGAATCTTAGATTCTGGAACAGTGAAAGAATAAATTTCTGCTGTTTTAAGCCACCCAGTTTGTGGTACTTTGTCATGCCAGATTTAGGAATCTAATATATATGCTGATGGAAATATTCAATAGAAAGCAAAATGTATGAGTGGTAGAGAGGAAAATTGCTGGACTGATATCCTTGAGTAAACAAGAAGAAATGGGTTTTAATGCACAAATGGATCAATGAACTTGAGATGGGCACAGGGAAAGTTTACTTACAGTAACAGACAGGAAGGCAGAAATGTGGGCCATTTCAAGAAACCAGTAAGAAAAAAATGGGACACTCCCCAGGTGCTAGAAATGACCTCAAGAATGTACCCATGACAAAAGCTACATGCTGTGAATATTTACATTTACATATTTACTTCATTTAAAACCCTCCTAACAACCCTAGGAGGTTATTTTATCATCATAAATTGGCCCAAGTTTATCAGTCACTTTCCACCAGAAAGACTAATGTTTCCTGGTTTTCCTTCAAGGATTTGATATTAATTTCAAACCATAATGATACAGTATACAAAACTGGTAGCTCGGGAGTTGGAAAAGTGTGATTTGCCTGAGATTCTGCATCAAATGAAGAAAGACTAAAGCGGTCACTCACGGGTAAAATTAGGAGGAAAGCAAGGATGCTTTGGCCAGAGAATCTAATGAAAACTCTCACAACTTGATGAGGGAGGTGGCTCACCAGTCTATACCTGTTGAGGAGCAAATACCTGTTGAGGCCGTTGGGATCCAGGTTACTGAGCAGTTCAGCCTTGACCAGGCTGTCTATAAGGTGACCAAGCTGTAAATTTTGAGCTGACCAGACTTCCTTCAAAACGGAAGCATATAAACCCTCCAGACTCCAGCCCTGCTATTTTACAAACTGACATTGGTGCTGGAAACGAAGGCCCCGCCTTTGCGCTTAGGGCGGCAGCAGCGACCGCAGAGCGCCAGCCTCAGGGTCAGGCCGTTGATACCACGTCACAAATGCCGAATATTCCACGTTCGATGCTCTAGAAGGAAGTCCACAACTGGTTTTCCAGAAACTAGGAAGAAGCCTAGTTTGTATCAGTGAGGAATCTCAGCAACTGTGGAGTCCTCAGGAACAACAATGGCCAGATCGCAGCCTCTTTCTTTCTTACCCACGCATGCATTCACAGTGCAGATTCTTTCAGGCATTCGGCCTAAGAAATAAAACACAGACTGATTCAGTGCTTTGAAAACTTGGGCATCACCAGCAAAGCCTGAGCCCCAAGCCCCCATCTCAATTGTCTAAAGCTTTTGTCAATGTGACCTTTTCTGGAGTCCCTTTACCAGACCCTATAGTGCCGCGGAATTGTGCAGTAGCTTCAAGGTTTTAGCATAAAATGTACTAAAAAGATGAGTTGTGCTACATAAGCAGTCTCTTGCCATCAGTTCCCATGTTATTTCATATGCAATTTTTCAAGGTAGAGTTTTTTCAATAGTTTGACTTTAATACCTTAATTTTGTCTCTAAAAATCAGATTATTCCTTTATTAATTTATTTTTGTTACAGATGTTTCTCCTTTTTTCCCCATTGACACCCTCCTCTCCATCCCTGCCTACCCCATCCCCAGCTTTGTTGTCCATGTCCATCGGTTATGTGTACATGCATATAAATTCTGTGATTTGTCTCTTCCCTCCCCACCCCACCCTCTCTTCTGAGGTTTGTCAGTCGATATCCTATTTCTATGTCTCTGGGTCTATTTTGTTCATCAGTTTGTTTTGTTCATTATATTGCACAAATAAGTGAGATCATGTGATATTTATTTTTCTCTGATTGACTTATACGCTCAATTATTGATAGACAATTGGGCTGCTTCCAGATCTTAGCAATTGTAAATAGTGCTGCTATGAACATAAGTAGGGGTACATATATTCTTTCTGATTGGTGTTTCAGGTTTCTTAGGATATATTGCTAGAAGTGGAATCACTGGGTCAAATGGCAGTTCAATTTTTAACTCTTTGAGGTAACACCATAGTGTTTTCCATAGTGGCTGCACCAGTCTACATTCCCACCAGCAGTGTACTAGAGTCTCCTTTTCCCTGCACCCTCATCAGCATTTGTAGTTTGATGGACCACTCGTTAGGTCCCCTCCCCATTTTTAAATTAGGTTCTTTGTCTTCCTTTTGTTGAGTTGTAGGAAGGTTTATTGTTATCATTTGTGCATTTTTCAGTATGGATTACATCAATAATAAAGAGAAAAATATAGTGATCAAACTTATTAAGTACTACACCAACATTTTAAAAAGTTGACCATCATCAGAGGAAATTGTTTACAAAGAATTGAATCACTGACTTCAAAACCTCTGAAAAGCATTATAAATGCAAAGGGTAGGAGAGATGGAACTAAAAATCAGAAAAGAGATATTTAATTTAAAAGAGATCCTCAAATTTTCTAGATTTGACAGCAGAATTCTACGATTTATCAGAACCCTGAAAATTTATTATATCTAATAATTTTTTGTTTTGCTGGCAAATCAAATGGTCAAGTTGTCCTATTACATAAGCAAGCCATTCAACATTAGTCAAGTAAGAAATCCAGCATCCCACCCAGCTGGTGCGGCTCAGTGGTTGAGCATCAATCCATGCACCAAGAGGTCTCTGGTTTGATTCCCGGTCAGGGCATACGCCCAGGTTGTGGGCCCAATCCCCAAGACGGGGCATGCAGGAGGCCAATCAATGTTCTCTCTCATTGATGTTTCTATCTCTCTCTTCCTCTCCCTTCCTCTCTCTCTAAAATCAGTAAAGAAAAATTATTTTTAAAAAAATTTTTTCCAAGAAATCCAGCATCCTGTTTTATTAATTTATGTAACTGATCGTAAGCCAGAACCAGGCTGTTTTGCTTACAATGGCCTAGTAGTACAGTTTGATATCAGGTAGTGTGATCATCTCCAACTTTGTTCTTTTTATGATTGCTGAGGCTATTCAGAGTCTTTTTGGCCCCATGTAAATTTTTGGAATATTTGTTCTAGATCTGTGAAGTATGCCATTACTTTTTGAATAGAACTTGTGTTAAATCAATAGATTTCATTGGGTATTATAGACATTAATGATGTTAATTCTTCCCATCCATGAACACGGTATGTGCTCCAACTTAGTTGTATCTTCTTCAGTTCCTTTATTCAATGTCCTGTAATTTTCCAAGTAAAGGTCTCTTACCTCATTGGTTAAATTTATTCCTCGTATCTTTTTATTTTTTATTTTTTGCAATAGTAAATGAAATTGTTTTCTTAATTTCTCATTCTGACAGTTTCTTTTTGGTGTATAGAAATGCAACTGACTTCTGAATATTAGTTTTGTATCCTGCTATTTTGCCAAATTCATTTATTAGTTCTAGTACTTTTGTGGTGGAGTCTAGAGTTTTCTATCTATAATATCATGTCATCTGCAAAAAATTATGGTATTACTTTCTTCTTCCCAATTTGAATGCCTTTTTTCTTCTTATCTGACTATTGTGGATAGGACTACACTGAATAAAAGTTCTGAGAGCAGACATCCCTGTCTTGTTCCTAATCTTAAGGAAACGCTTTAAGTTTTTGATTAGGGAGTATGACATTGGCTGTAGGTTTGTCACATGTGGCCTTTATTATTTTGAGGTATGATCCCACTGTTCCCACTTTGTTGAGAGTTTTTTTCATAAAAGGATACTGGATTTTATCAAATGTTTTTCAGTTTTCTGTTGATATGATCATGTGATTTTTGTCCTTCCTTTTGTTTATGTTATGTATCAATTTATGTTATGTATCACATTTATTGATTTGCAAGTAGTGTACCAATGATGCATCCCTGGAATAAATCCTACTTGATTATGGTGTATGATATTTTTAATGATTTGCATGATCCAGCTTGCTAATATTTTGTTGAGAATTCTTTGCATCTATGTTCTTCAGGGTTATTGGCCTAATAATTTTCTTTCTTTGTAGTATCTTTATCTGATTTTGGAATTACGATATGCTGGCCTCATACAAAGCGTTTAGAAGTCTTCCATCCCTTTTAATTTTTTTTGGAACAGTTTGAAAACAGGTATTAGTTCTTCTTTGAATGTTTGGTAAAGTTGTCCTGTGAAACCATGTGGTCCATGACTTTTGTTTGCAGGAAGATTTTTTTATTACTGTCTCAATTTCATTAGTTGCAATCAGTCTATTCAGGTTTTCTAATTCTTCCTGATTCAGTTTTGGAAGAATGTATTTTTTGCAGAATTTATTCATTTCACCCACTGTTTTGGCATATAGTTGTTCATAGTATTTTCTTACAATCCTTTGTATTTCTGTGATGTCAATTCTTACTTTTCTTTCATTTCTGATTTTATTTATTTGGGTACTCTCTCTTTTTTCTCTTATTAGTCAGGTTAAAGTTTTGTTTATCTTTTCAAAGAATAAAGTCTTGGTTTTATTGATATTTTGTATTTCTTTTTTTAGTCTCTATGTCATTTATTTCCAGTCTGATCTTTTTTACTTACTTCCTTCTAGTTAATCTGGGCTTTGTTTGTTGTTCTTCTAGGTGTAGGGTTGGATTGTTTATTTCAGATTTTTCTCGCTTCCTAAGGGAAGCTTGTAATACTATGTACTTCACTCTCAGGACTGTTTTTGTTGTGTCTCACAGGGTACTGAAGTTGTTGCATGTTCATTATCATTTATCTCCAGGGAACTTTTAACTTCTTCCTTGATTCATTGTTAACCCACTTATTGTTTAATAACATGTTATTTAGCCTCCAAGTGTTTGAGTCTTTTTCAGTTTTTTTTTATTGTAATTGATTTCTAGTTTCATGCCACTGTGTTCAGAGAAGATGTTTGATATGATTTTAGTTCTTGAACTTATTAAGACTTGTTTTGTGTCCTAACATATGATCATTCCACAGAATGTTTCAGGTGCTCCAGAAAAGAGTGTATAGCCTCTTGCTTTCAGATGAAATATCCTTTAAATTTCAATTAAATTCATTTCTTCCAGTATGTCATTTAAGGTCACTGTTGCCTTATTGATTTTTTTTTTTTTTTTTTTAAGTCTGGAAGATGTATCCATTGATGTCAGTGGGGTGTTAAAATCCCCTACTATGACTGCATTGCTGTTGATCTCTCCCTTAATGTCCACCAAGATTTTCTTTATATATTTAGGTGCTCCTATGTTAGGTGCATAAATGTTTACAGGATTATATCCTCTTGTTGAATAGGTAACTTAAGTATTATATAGTGATCTAATTTGTGTCTTATTATGGCCTTTTGATTTAAAGTCTATTTTGTTTGTTATGAATATTGCTACCCCAGCTTCCTTTTCATTTCCATTTTCATGAAGTATTTTTTTTTTTTTCATTTCTTCACTTTCAGTCTGTGTGTATCTTTTGTTCTCATGTGGATCTTTTTCAGCCAGCATATATATGGCTAATGTTTTCTTATCCATTGAATACCCTATATGTTTTGATTGAAACATTTAATCTGTTTACATTTAAGGTTATTATTAATAGGTACTTATTTATTGACATTTTATTTGTTATACCTATGTTTTTTTTCTTTCTTGATTTCTTTGTATTTTCTTTTTTCTTAAAGCAAACTTTAAAATTTCTTGCAATACTAGTGTGTTGGTAATAAACTCATTTAGCTTTTTTGTATCTGAGAAGCTTTTTATTTTGCCTTCAATGTTAAATGATAGCCTTGCTGAATAGAATAGTCTTAGTTGTAAGTCCTTGCTTTTAATCACTTTGAATATTTCATGCCAATCCCTTCTGGCCTGATGTGTTTCTGTTGAGAAAATAGCTGACAGCCTTATGGGAGCTCCTTTGTAGGTAACTAATTGCTTTTCTTTTGCTGCTTTTAAGATTCCCTTTCTGTCTTTAATCTTTGGCACTTTAATTATAATATGTCGTAGTGTGGGCCTTTTTGGACTCATCTTGTTTAGGACTCTCTTTGCTTCCTAGACTTATGTTTCTTTTTTCTTCACCAATTTAGCAACTTTTCGGCCATTGTTTCTTCAAACAGGTTCTTGATCCCTTGCTCTCTCTCTCTCTCTCTCTTCTCATTCTGGTATCCCTATGATTCAGATATTGTTATGCTTCATGTTATCCCAAAGATCCCTTAGACATCCTCATTTTTATGAATTCTCTTTTCTTTTTGATTGTCTACTTGGGTGCTTACTGTATTCTTGTCCTCTAAATTGCTGATTTGATTCT